CTCGTCTTCCTCTGTGGGATCTCCAGCACTCACAATCCGGTGTGTCTGAATTCAGATATCGCCGCTAACAGGGAACTTCTCCAAACTCTGTCTAATGTAATTGGCAAGGTTGTCTTCTTTTTAATTAATTTAATAATGTTCTCAAAACATTAGCACGAAAACATCTTTAATCACTCGTGGATGGAATGTTTAGAGATTCAAAAGTAACGTTCCCATGAAAAAAAACGGAATGTTAACATTCACATGACAAAAAAGTAACACATTTAAACATTCCAAAAAATAGATTTTTTTGAACGTTCAGAGAACATTCAGAAATAATGTTTTCATAACTTAACGGGAACATTAGTAAAACATTCTTATAACATTTTAGTTAGCAGGGACAGTGTTTAGACGCTTAAATCACACTTAAAATATGCAAATGCCCTTGAATTAAAACAGAATATCAAAACCAGTGTGATTCAATTACAAGCTAAACCTAAATACATCTAGTGTTGAAAATGTAGAAGAAAAGTATTGCTAAATTGTACATTTAAATTAAACATCTATTAATGATGAACATAAAACGAATGCTGTTGTTGTGTTTAATACAAAAAGTTATGTTTATTGTAAACAAACAAGAGAATCCAATTCCATACTTATTTTAAGTTGTGATATTTCACCGTATTACTGTTTTTACTGTATTTTTGATATATAGTTATACTGTTTTTGTATGTCATACGAGGTGGACCTACACAAATCGATTATGACAGTGCTGGGTAGATTAATCACAAGCTGTAATCTGTTAATGACTACAAATTACATGTTGGAAACTGTAATTATTAACATGTTATTCTTACTACTTTTGGATTACTTACAGATTACTTTTGACATAACTTGTTTATGGATATGAATGGGATTATTGTTATAAAGAAAAAGAGAATAAAAAATAATTAACTGACATTAGAGAACACGCAAATGTGTTGTAAAATCACTGAAATATTAACTTTAAATCTCAGGGGGACTTCAAATAAATATGTTATTTATGAGCATTTTAAAATGTAATATGTGACCCAGGAGCACAAAACCAGTCATAATTGAGAAATGGAGATGTATGCATCAGCTGAAAGCTGGATAAATCATCTTTCCATTGATGTATGGTTTGTTAGGATCGGACAATATTTGAAAATCTGGAATCTGAGGGTGCAAAAAAATCTAAATATTGAGAAAATCATCTTTAAAGTTGTCCAAATGAAGTTCTTAGCAATGCATATTACTAATCAAACATTAAGTTTTGATATATTTACGGTAGGAGATTTACTAAATATCTTCATGGAACATGATCTTTACTTAATATCCTAATGATTTTTGGCATAAAAGAGAAATGTATAATTGTGACCCATACAATGTATTGTTGGCTATTGCTACAAATATCCCCCAGCGACTTAACACTGCTTCTGTGCTGCAGAGACACATAATCTAAATACGAGTACTTCATGTAGATTACATGTATTCAGCTCCTACCCAGCTCTGGTGATACGTGAATGAAGGTTTATTGCGAGCAAACAGGAGAATGATGTGACGTGTGTTTCTCTCTCAGGTGGGGTGTGCGATTGTGGCCGGTCTGCTTCACTTCTTCTTCTTGTCTGCGTTCTGCTGGATGCTGCTGGAGGGGGTTCAGCTCTACCGGATGGTTGTGCTGGTGTTTCACACCACATTAAAGCATCTCTACATGTATCTGGTGGGATACGGGGTCCCTCTCGTCATCGTCACCGTCTCTGCCATCGCCTTCCCAGCGGGATACGGCACCGAGCGACAGTGAGTGTGTGCATCCAGCGCTGTTCAGCTGCAGAAGTGTGTCTAGAGTCGCAAGGCTTTATATATGACTCTGGCTAGTTTTATCAGTAACTCATATTTAGGCTTCAGAAACACTGCCTCGTGGCCAATCATCAACTCCGGAGCTGTAAATTCACAGTCTAAACATTTGATTTTTACTTTAACTTAACTTGAAATCCTTAAATAACTGAAGTAATTAAAAACTATATAGAAATATTAAAATTATAAAAATTACAAAAACAAAATGACTAACATATTCAATTTCAAATGGACAATATTTCAAACGAATTCAAATTATTAAAATAAAAAGGACAAAAACAACAACAAATTTTTTTTAATGAAAATATACAAATAAAAATCAGTGACACTAAAATAACGCTGGATGAATATGAAAGGGTTGAACTGGTGTTTTTGTAATCATGTGACTAGTTTATCATTCTAATGTGTGTGTTGCAGCTGCTGGCTCGCTCTCGATCGTTATTTTATCTTGAGTTTCTTCGCGCCCGTCTGCATCATTGTGATCCTCAATGGTTTTGTCTTCGTCATCACCGTCTGGAAACTGGCCAGAAAGTTCTCCAGCCTCAATCCAGACCTCTCCAAACTCAACCAGATCAGGTGTGTGATCTCAAAATAGATTCAGTCAGTCTTGATGTTTGTGCATCAGTGGTTCTGATGAAGTATATTTGGTGTGTAGGAGCTTTACGGTGACCGCTGTGGCTCAGTTGTGTATTCTTGGAGGAACGTGGATCTTCGGCTTCTTCCTCTTCCAGGAGAAAGGGACTGAAGTCATGTTGTACCTCTTCATCATCCTCAACAGCCTGCAGGGGGCGCTCATCTTCATCATGCACTGCCTGCTGTCCAAACCGGTGCTTAAAACACACCATGACTCAGAAACACATGACATGACTTACTCACTGAGCGTTGGGTAACAGTGGCTTGTTTTAGACACAACACCTCATAGGTCTTCAGTGGTTTAAAGTAATAGCTCACTTAAAAATAAAAATTCTGATATTTAGTCACACTTTTCGGACCACAAAAGGAGGAATTTACAAGGTGTCTCACTCGTGCTTGTCCATATAACGGCAGTGGATGGTGACCTTCTTCAAGCTTTAAGAAAAAGGATGCAGAAGTGTGATTCACGCCAGATAAACCAAGCATTCTAAATATGCCGATATTTGGCATTTTTAAAATATCGGCATTAGCCGATAATATTTCCTCTTTGGCCGATAAGTGTCAGAAGCAGGTTATATTCGGACAGTGGTGGGACATTTATATTGGCAGCACTAAGAAAGACAGCATCTAAAGCATGGATCCAAGCCATGTCGCATTCATATGATATTCATGTCATGTTCACTCTACTTTATGCATGTTCTTAGTGCTCCAAAAAAAAAGTAAAATGACCAGATTACTGGATGAACTGTTGGTTATAGTGTTTACTGCCTTTTTATTAATGTTTTAAACAATTACTTTGTAAAAAATACTATATTAGGATTATTGCTGATTTTTTTTTTTTTGTCAAGTTCAAATTGTTAATTTTACAATCTAATACAATCTTTCAAATTTTCACATTTACAAAATGGATAAAAAAAGTTACATTTCATTGTTTCGTTATATATATATATATAAATATCTATCGGCTTTATATCGGCTACCCTGTTCTCTAAGATATTGGCATCTGCCGTAAAAAAATCCATATTTGTTGGCCACTCGTCTGAATGCATATGATAGGAATGTTCCAGAAACACCTGTAATTTATAATTGAATCAAATATCATTAAGTTTGCCTGTTGTGTCGCCCCTTCAGGTCAGGACGGAGTATTACAATCTGTTTGTCCGAGTGTGTCCACACAAGAGGAAAGCCGAACACAGAACCAGTACCAGCCAGACCAGCAGCAGTCAGGTACATTAGTGTGTGTGTGTGTGTGTGCGAGCGAGTGGGTGTGTGTGAGAGTGAGTGTGTGTGTGTGTGTGTGTGTGTGTGTGTGTGTGCGAGCGAGTGAGTGTGTGTGTGAGAGTGAGTGTGTGTGTGTGTGTGTTTGACATTAAAGCAGTGTTTGTGGCTTCAGCTTCCTCATTCTTCCTTTGACTTTTACAGAAACCTCTACAGAGCGACAACAGCACAGCAGAGTCACAGATGTAAAGCGCTTATCATGTGCTGATTTTACAAACTTTTGAACACTTGAACGCTTTCTGTGACAAATGAAGACTTTTCAGTTCAACAGGGGGTCATCAGTTCGTCCTACTTATTTTTTTCCAATCAGAAGATCTGAAAACGTCTTTGCATTTGTAAGAATACTGATAAGGAATCATCATATGGCGTGTGCATCACATATTTTACTGGAGACTGAGTTATACGCCTGTCATGGGAACATCTAAAATAGAAAAATTAGAATAAAAAATTAGAATAAGCTAAATATTTAGGTGGCTTTGGTTTTTCTGCTATGCATGTAGAAAATCTTGCATTTTAGGTTATGCAAAAGGCAGCTTCTTTAAAATGATACATGCTTTATTGTGTTGAGGGTGATCTTGTTTTGGCTGTCACAAAACTGTATAAAGACTGTAAAAAAAAAAACTCTAGAAATAGTAGAAGTACGAGAAATTAAAGTGAAACTCTACTTTGGTTTTAAACAGGAGAGAGTTTATTATGTTGGCTTTAAAATACATACATGATCTAATCAGAGATGCTGTTATTATAAAACTTAATGATAAAGATGTATGGTGTTTGTATAATACTTAAACTTTTCAAACTTTTTTAGACTTTCTTGTCCGGCTTTCTCAAGCCAACTTAAAGTTGGTCTTGATGAACTTTTTTTCATCTAGTTGCGATTGGTACAGAAGCTGAGACCTGTGTTTGTGTTTCTTTCCCCTGTATCTGTTAGAGCACATCAGCAATGGATCTTGCAGTATGCTATTGCTTTAGTCTGTTGATTTAGTGAAAATAAAGGCCTCTTCCAGCCGCTCCGACCCTGCATCTTCATACGAGGACATTATATTTGAGTGTATTTCTCTGAGACTATACATGCCACAGTTGTAAGTCTGGATGTCCTGTACAGAGCGCATTCAGGGCTTTTCAGAGACACTAAATGTTTGGATGTGTCACCATCACCACTCCCTCTCCTTGGGCTTTAAAAATGTCTGATATTAATTTAGTGACACTCTTATGGAAATATGATACTATTTTGTAATTGTCATTTAAATCGGACACATTTTTCAACTGTGTTGTCATAAATCAACATCTCAGGAAAATGTTATGGGGTTTCAAAGCAAAATATGACTTTCTGTTATGAAACCGGAGGATGATTTCATGCATGTCCTCATATGAGGACACCGGGACTAAAAGCATGTTTCAATATTTCTATGAAATATTATATATTATTATGAAAATCTTGTCAATTATTACTCTCAATATTACACTTCTTTTTTCATTACATGTGGCCCCAAAACACATTAATATGCAAATTAGATTTAGTTTATAGATACATTATATATAATGAGAAAACCTGTTTGTGGCCATTTTACACACATTTTGCATGAAGAAAAATGGTATATAAAACCATTCTGATATAACATAGTTGAGAATTATCTTTATACAAAAAAATCCTGAAAACTAAAAATGTATTGGTGATTTAAAAAATCTATTGTTTTTGGCTATGCATGTCCATTCATGTCTTTTTATTTTTATTTTTTCAAAATTGAGTCCCGTTGTGTCTACCGAGGACATTGCATAACTTATGAATGAAATATCATTTTTTTAAAAAGTACATTTTTTTTATGCTCTAAACAATGTAAAGACATGAAAAAAGCATCCCCCCCTAAAAATCTTTTCTCGGGTCTTGAGAGGTTAAAGGGTCAAATCCTGAGACATGTTTCTGAATCTTTTGAAAAGAGTTTAATGGACTATAATTCCAGAACTGAAGTCTCGAACACGTTTCACTTTCACTTTCGCAGTCATGTGCACAAGAGGTCAGTGACGATTTGTACGTTTAAATGCTTGTTGTGAAGCTCAGGATTTCTGCAGCAGTAAATATAAATAAAGATGCACTTATACATAAATCAACGAGTTTACAATAGACTGTGTACAAAATGTGAGAATATATTAGTATATGTGATGTGTGTCGTAAAGTGCAGATGCTCTAGTGTTATTTTAAAACACGTTTGTATTTATTATTATTTTTGATTCTCATAAACTGTGCAAAGACCTGCAGCAATGCGGTCTCTGACAGAATGAAGATGCTTTAGTTTATTGTATATTTTTAACATCGTTATCACCATTTTTACAGTGAAAGAATTGAATTAGGCTTAGGGATGATGACTGCAAGGTTTCTGCTGGACCTGTCATGTCCTGTTATTCTGTAAGTATTTAAATGAAAGGCCTGCCAGCTTTCGCAGTCAATTGTAAAGACCTTTCGACACACCCCTTTCTCCGACTTGCAGAACACAAGATGGGGAGGAATGCAACAGAAAAATAATTTTTTCCCCTCTTTTTTTGCTTCCTTGGAAATTATATTTTTTAGTAGGAGGAACAAATAACAGGAGAGCTATATAGCCTACCACTGAAAGAGCCGAAGAGTTTCAAGACATGAAGTAAAAGTCAGCTGAAGGCTTATTTTCTGAATTTAATACACCCCCAACCTTTAAAAAGCATAAAAACATACTTAACTTAGAAAGCAGCTGTTTACAGTTTCCTAACATGGAGCTAAAGTGGGCACTTCTTTTGGGTGAGTAGATTTTACTCTGTTTTACTCTGTTTTACTCTGTTCACGTGTGTGGTCAATACATTTGTGACGTACTACTGAAGCTGGATTAATAGTCAGACAACTTCTGGGAATATAGCTTATGTGTGTCAGAGACCGTTACAAAATAACTGGGTGTCTGTGTAAGAAAGACTGCTCTTTAAACTACTTCAGTTGTTAGAAAATCTGAAAGCAGACACCAGGAATGCTGTTCACAACTGTCTCCTTTATTTTGCATCAACAACGAGCCAGAAATAAGTGGCTAGTAAAGGACTCTTAACGGTTATGAAATGATTGTGAAAGTTTTTTTTTTTACTCCTACACAGATCTTTTTTTTTCAGATTTCCACTGTGTTTGTCAAACCTTCTCCTTTATGTCGCAGTCGCTTAATTTCTGCACACTCTTATATAACTCATACTCTTGCTACGTAAAACCACATGAACTCATGAAAAATGAAGGGAGGGATCTCAGGTAACAAAAACAAATCCACAACAGAAAGAAGTTTCTGGGTGTTTGTGTCTGTCATGTAATGAAGAGGTTTTGCAAATAGTGTCAGTTCACTCTTCCATCTGCTGAAATGGGGCTTAAATACTTGCATCTATAAAAAAAACAATCAGGCTATTTAGCAAAAAATCTAGGCAATATTCCTACTGTAATTGAGATCACCGTGTAATGACA